ATTTTCAATGACTACTTATTTTTGTCCAGCTTTAACGTCGGTATCAATATCGGTTATCGGCTACATGAGTTTTAAAATATCGGCATATCGGATATCGGCCAAAATCCCAATATCGTGCATCCTTATTCTCAGCCTTTATTTTCTTTGTCCATGTGACTCAAATATCAGGCCGATACATCTACTGGCTGCTCTTGGTTTTATCTTGTATCTGTATCGGCTGATAGATAAATGCATCGTCGATTTAATTTGGAAGCCTCACATAAAATATATTAGAAATAAAATTGCAAAAACTATTGGAATATTATTTAAAATGAAAGATTTAATTAAAAATAAAGGCCTGCATATGATATATTCCTCTTTGGTTATGCCTTATTGTCTTATTGTTAAGAGTTATGGGGAAATGCAAATAAAACAATTATTGATAGTTAAGGTGCAATAAAAAGCTATAAGGCTTATTAATAAGGTGGGATACCGTCAACCAACTGATCAACACTTAATTCAAAGCTACACATTAAAATTCAAAGACATTGTTTATATAAAAATACTGGAAATAATGCATAAAGCAGTGAACCAAAGTCTTCCTTCTGGTATTCAGAAATAATTTAAGTTAAGAGAGAACAAATATAATTTGCGAGGTTTGTTTATATTTGAATGTGCAAAAGAGACGAGCCAGATAAAGTCTAGATGTGTTTCAGTTATTGGTGTGAAAATGTGGAATGAATTGAATGATGATTTAAAGTTATGTCCTTTCTTGGTGAATTCCAAAAGGGCTTTAAAATGGAAAACGATAAAATCCTATGTTATGTAGATTTGAATATTTATATAGGCAGTAAAGAACCTGGTAGGTTGTAAAGGTTGTAAGTTTAAAACAGTGTAGGCAATAATAAGCTTTCCTTCAGCCTATTCCTGTTTTTTGGTAAATTGTTTTTGTTTTGTTTTGATATTGTTGTTTTGTTGTTTAATGTTGGATTATTTGCTAAAAAATAAAGTTAAAGCGAAAGTGAATTTATGTAGGGAGTAGCAGCCTAGTGGTTTAGGGCATAGAGCTTAAAATCCTGAGGTTCTGAGTTCGAGCCGCACTCCCACATATTGCTACTCTGGGTCCCTGAGCAAGACCCTTAACCCCACCCTGCTCCCCGTGCGCCACACGATGGCTTCCCACTGCTTCCTAAGGGGATGGGTTAAATGCAGAGGTAAATTTTTCCAATGTGAGATCAATAAAGTTCAGTTAAAATATTATCAAACTGCGGTACATGCCCCCTATGGGTGAAGCAGTGTAATTACAGGATGATGTGATTGAAAAGAGTTGAATAAATGACCCGGATTTGGGTTAATTTAT